AAATTAACGGGACGCTTTCTAAATAATTAAGAAATAAATCTGAATCTATTGTTCGATGGAGGGATTATGTAATATACATTTTTATTAAAACCTACCATACAAACAGTGCATTTATAGATAAGCGATTTAAGGCATGCACCCTTCTGGTCATGTCCGATCGATTTCTTCAATGCTTCCTGCTTCTTTAAATTCTTAGCCTTAGCTTGCATCTTCATATGACCACGTGTCATTGCTGCTGATTGTTGATACCGGTGTTAGGAAAGTATCAGCTTAAGCGTCCAGGCTGTCTCGAAAAATCAATATAATTACTATGAAACTTCTTATTAAAGTTCTTTTTCAATGTTACTAATCGGCATTCATGATGATTTCGCTGAGAATCATCGGATCAAAATCCCAAAAATCAGATAAAATCTCCCTTATTATACATGCAAATCCGATATATTTCAGACTCCATAATTATGCAGATTTCTAATACATGCAAATCTGATATATTTCGAACTCTATTATTTTTAAGTTGTAATGCAGTCAGCAAGTATAACTTCTTCCGCAATATATTTCTCTGCCAAAATCTATAAGGAAAATGGCTAAGTATTATCGCAATGACCGGCAGAATATTTTATCTAGAATAGTAGCTAAATTTAAGACGATTATGGAACTGAACAATTCTTAAATAAAATCTTTGGGTTGATACCAAAAGAAAACTACTGAATTTTCGAATTGGAAAAAAGTCATTTATTCATTTTCTCTAACCAGTAGCTGAGAACCGACATATCAATATTACACAATGAAAAAAGAATTACCGAAAAAAGGCATTGATACAACTACCTATAATTGCACTAATTAAAGAGGCTGCATTATCAAATGAACTAGCCATTTAATGAATTAGTATTGTTTTACATTGGTTATCACTTAAAAGAATAGTACGGCCGTACTGATAAATTTGGGAGCAGAAAACAGAACATTCATAAAGGACAGAAATAATGTACACGACTGCGTTATTTTGTGCAGAAATATAATAATGGAAGTCGATAATTAGCCCGAAAAGTACATGAACTACATATACCATGGATAAAAAATGCTTATTATGTTAATATGATCTCATATATTTACGCTTGAACATCAACCAATTCTGGTGGAAGTGCAGCTTTCGGATGTTTTGACTCAAAATGCTGCTTGTAAGTTTTCGGATCTGGCATCAGTGCCTGCAAAAAATATTTTTTATGCTTGATTTTTTCGATTACATTTCTTGTCAAAAACCTAAGAGTTAGAACCAAATCATCTTTTGCTTACAAAAAGAACAAATCTCATCGCTTATTAAGTTCTTCAATCAATCCTCAGAATTTATCAGTTTATTCCCGAGAACTTTAAAATTATTTAGCAGCTTTCATCGGTTTTGAATATGTTGCTTAATTTGAACTAAATATATGAGATCGAAACTTAAGATGATGCCATAACACTATTAGTCCCATAACTCTCCCAGACAATCAGCTCTATGGTAACAATAACCATTTCAGAATGAATTAGTTTAACGTAAACTTTTTTAATTTGTTTCACCCATCTAACAAACTATAATAAAACAAGTTCCAAATCAATAGATCAAACTCTGAGTTACAAGTTATGCACTTTGCTAAGAGTCATATGATAAAATGGAAAAAAATTATTGCTGCAAGTTTTAAACAAAAGATAAAAAATAAAAATTCTTTATTCTGTCGCATAAATGAAATTAAACCCAAAGTCTGTGTCAAATTTGTCAACTGTGACAAGTAAACTTCCAGAAAACTTTACCATACAAACAGTACATTTGTGCGTAAGTGCCTTTATAGCAGCTGCTTTCTGATCACTTCCCTTTGACTTTTTTAACTCCTCTTGTTTCTTCAAGTTTTTTTGCTGTGATTGAAATTTCTGGTGGCCACGAGCCATCGAGCTTCTTATTTCAAAACTATCACGCTGCAAAATATCCCAACATTAGAGATCATCTCTCTTTCTTTTTGGATCACATCGGCTTCTCGATTGTTTTGAATTATGGAAATGAATATCTCAAAATGATTCTACACTAACTGAGAATTTTCATTCCATATTCTCTTAAAGAAACATGAAACAAAGTATGTAAGGAAGGATAAGAATGATTTCTACAATATAAATTAATAATGCCGAAAATCCTTACAGCTGTTATGATGCAATGGTTCTACTAAACCAAATCAATCAATGATGAACTTAGAAAAAAATTAGGATGTTCAACTGTAAATGGAAATATCTAAATGAATCGACAAAACCTTCCTTCCCAATCTAATGAAATCCAAAATTTTCTTTTTTGATAGCTATACACTTCTCCACCATAACACCGAACAGGAAATAACAAGTGAAAGGAGATATCGTATAAGCCCTTCAAGAATAGCTACAGGATGGTAAAATTTTCAAAGCGAGTAGCAATTAACATCACTAGTAAAAAAAAAAGTAAATATTCTGAACGCTTATAATGATTAATATCATCAAGAAAGGAGGAGTGAATTAGGCGAAGTTTTCATTTAAGGTCATTAAAGACAGTTTATTTAACCATTCAGGGCTCTTAATTCTCCGAAAAATGCAAGCTAAAATATTCGCTTAACCGTCCTCATTTCATGAACATTAAAATCAAGCTAATATTTATGTTCAATAAAAAAATCAATGAAAATTCAAGAATCCATCAATCATTTCTCTCTGGAAAATCCGGAAGAAGCACTCATCCACTATTAATCAAGTAAGATTTAAATTTTTCTTCCAAAATTTTCAAAATTTCAACCTAAAATATATTGTCTCACAATAAACAAAATTCATTCAAAATAACGCTACGCATGAAATGTATGTATCATATAGTATAAAGTAATGGATGGATAGATAATAAATAGCAAGCAGCCAGTAAACTCTTCTAATAAAAGCAAAAATAACTTGCACAAAAGCTAACATTTATTTTACAAACGATAATATATAGAAATATTTCATGAACGGTAAACAAATACAAACAAATATAACAAATATTTCTGCGAAATGTGCACAAAGCTATCGCTCTTATCTTACCCGCGGATAAAAAAAAATTAAACATATACGTTATAGAACCGCAGCTGAAGGAGAAAAATTAAGCGCACTTGAAACTATTCAATTCATACTATTCGATATAGGGAAAAACTCAGAACTCACTATTTCTCTTAAAAGTTTTTGTACACAACTGCAAAAACAATAAAAATTAACAGCAAATTAAACTATAAAAGAGTAAAAGAATAGTGAAGACCTAGCCAACCGGCATAATTAAATTTTTTTCTGATTATCTCCCTTTGTAAATTCTTGAACCTTATATTTTAAATTTGACAAAGCGTATAAAAAAGGAACTACCGTAAGTAGCTTTAAAAGAGACTAGTAAGATTTAAAAAACCACGGATACATCGAAAACACATTCAAGGTCTATGGAAGCTTTGTAGCATAAATCTTCCCTCATTAAATGATTATGCATATTAGTTCCACAAGGCTTGACGTTGAAACGAGGAAAGTTTAGACAATTTCACAGACAGCACCTAATTTTTCAAGTTTTGTTTTCAGTTCTTCAGCTTCATTTTTACTCAGATCTTCCTTCACCGTAGCAGGCAATGTTTCCACAAATTTTTTCGCCTGTACCAAATTAAAACCTTCAATTGTTGTACGGATTTCTTTGATTAATGGGATCTTCTTTGAATCATCCACTTTCGTTAATTTCACAGAGAAAAATGTCTTTTGCGATAATTGAGGTTTCTCCGCTTTCTCTTCTCCTTAAATAAAAAAATTTAATACATATAAGAAAAAAATGCAAAATATGAGTAAATTTAATATAACAATGTTTCGCTTATAAAAGAAAAAACGGGAAATTCAAAAACATCGACATTTTCTGCACTGAGAATTCAAAACTTCATGATGAAAACTTTTACCTGTAGCAGACGTAGCTCCTGAAGTAGCGAATGATTGAACAGAGACAGGAAAGTCTGGCAAATTCAATTTTTTTTTTAACGTGCTATTCAGATCTGCCACTTCAAAAATCGTTAAACTGACTATTTCGTTTGCTAACCGAAGGATCCGTTCCGACACCACCTTTTCGCCGTCGCGGGGTGGAAGTGGGGATGCCTTTCCAGGTTCCAATGCTAACTGGGCAATTTTCCGGTCCATAATTGATGTGGAGGATAAATCTATCCCCTTGCCATCATTTACAGAAGGAGCTTGTGGCTCCGTTTCTTGTTTTTTTTCTGTGATTGTGCATGATCCTCCAGCATCATCGGACTTCTCGGTTTTTGTAGATGTTAAAGTCGATTTTTTGTCTTCTGGAAATTTTGAAGCTGACTTTTCTAATGGAACTGGTGCTTGTGCTGCACCCCCTGAAACAGAAATTTGTGTACATCAAAAGAGAGGCTTATATTAGATTGTCATTTGTCCTGTCTTATTCGTTGACTGCTTTCCGACTAAGTAGTAAAATCGTTTGCAACAATGAACAATAAGGGATAAAAAGAAAATTACTAGCAAAAGAATTCCTTGAACCAGATATCGTACTAATAAAAAAGTGCTAGAACAGTAACGAAATACTGAATGTCTTAAGAAAATCCAAGGCAATTATAGCACCGTCTCTAAAGCAAAGCAATTCAAATCACAGATTATTCATCGCTCAAAATTCAAAGGATGGGTTTATGGAACTTCATTGGACTACAGCTTTAATCGAATCCAATAAAATTAATTACTATTACCGTCAGACTAAAGTTTTTGGTGAAAATTCAGAAAAAAACTCTAAAATAAGCCTACAATAATAAATAAATAACCTGTGGTAAACCTCGTATTCCTCATCAATAGTGTAAAACGATTTCGTGAAGTAACCGCTCTTGTCAATACATTTCGTATGCAAACCATTTCCATATCTTTTCAAATGATTCCTAAATTAAAATAAGTGAAATAAAAAATTACACCATTCCTTAACAAATGTTCATAAAAGATATCATGATTCGTAACATGCACAACGTACGCTATACATACTATATTTCCTTATTCCTTTCCTCTCTTGGTCAGATATAACTAACCTATCGTTATAAGATGCAAACCACAACATGCAACCTAATCCTGTTACACGATGCAAGCTATAATGTATGATCCATTCTCCCTGCAAAATGCATGCTATCTAAGTGACTTTCTAGTGCAAAATGCAAGCTATCTAAGTGACTTTTTGATACAAGATGCAAATTATCTAAGCGACCTTCTAGTATAAAAATTCAAGCTATCTCGTACAAAATACGAGCTATTTAAGTGACTTCCTAGTACAAAGTGCAAGCTATCTAAATGACTTTCTAGTATAAAACGCGAGCCATCTAAGTAACTAGTACGAAATGCAAGCTATAATATATAATTTACTCGTCTTTTAAAATATAAATCATTAAAACAATTATTATTCACAGACTTTCCGGAAATCATCCACCCGACTCCATCAAAAATTGCAACATTATTATCGGGAACAAAATGAACAGTAACCAACCATTTGCAATTTGCAGCTGAATTAAAAAACACAGGAGCACAGTGATCGTTTCAAGACCGGAACTGCCCAAAAGATGTAATGTACACGAACGGGCGTTACGTCTAAGTGAAATTGAGGATGATGAAGTTTCTACGTACGTTTAAATAGAATTGAGAATGATGAAACTTCCACTTACGTTCAAGTAAGATTGAGGATGATGAAGTTTCCACTTACATCTAAGTAGACTTAAGGATGATTTTTTAATAGTTAGAATGTATAATCCTCGACGGAGAAAGCGCTCAAATTATTCAACCATTTCGGATGATATCAATTTCTTTTGCAAAATAAACTAACAATATCTAGAATCATTCCATCTGATTATTCTAAAATCATTCCATTTGACTATTCTTTCATCAAACATAAATTGAAATTGATATAAAGTATTTCAAGCTGAACGTAATAAGCTCAAATCCAGATTTTTTTTTCTGTGAAATACATTACTCTAATCATAAATGAATAAATGTCTGAATTTTATCGAATTGTTGCGATAAAAATATAAGTGTTGATAAAAATTTCCCTTTTCAAACTTCCCTTTTTTTCAATTGAAATTTATAGTATCAGTTCAAACAGTAACATTGTAAAAACCCCTTGACAGAAGCGAAAAGGTCTTTACTGTTTTTTTTTTCGATTTCTTGGTAGTATTCTATCATTATTATTCTCATTACTCCTTTTTATTCCGTACATTTCCGGTTTAAAATAACTTCATATTTCAATCTTACCAAGTAGATACAGTAACGATAGTAATGTCAACAAAGAATGATTGTTCTATAAAAGATTTCAAGCTAGGCTAGCTTTTTAATAACTATATACTTTGATTTACAATAATATGGCAACGTCATATCTTCTTCTGAAAGTTTAGGTGATTTAATACCAGAACAACTATCATCCTTTTATCCTCTTTACATTTCTGGTTCATCAGGCCGGAAATAATTGCATGATTTTAGAATATTCCAAAAGTTAGGAGACGTCGGTTGAGCGGAAAACAACGAGTATTACATTGACAATTAATGCGACATAATACATTCTTGCAAGCAATAAGTGAATTTTTAGAAGAGGAAGATTTCTTGAAGAAATGCACCATTATAGTAACTAGGAATCAAAAGAACAATCTGATAAACTCATAATTTTATCATCCCCTTCCTTAACATTCGGAAGACACAGTACAATCACTTCTTTAGTTAGGAGAAATGCAATAATACATTTTTACGTTATATGAGTTACGAAAATATAATTTTATACCGTTACCATTGATTTAAATCAAGAAAATGCAAAAATAGGGAATAAAAGAACTGAAGCAATGGAAATATCAGCATTCTTAGTAACATAAGGACAGAATTAAACTATATTGAATTTGCGATATATCTCTCAGAGTTAGGAAAAGTCCCGCTACGTATCTCCGCTAGAAGGAAGTAACGTCACGCAGATGTGGCGTTACTTCGTTCATGTGCATTAACCAAAGACACATAACCTCTGCCCAAATCCATTAGCCTTAGATTTTCCATGTTTGCCCAGTTACAAATAATCCATTATTTCCGTATATTTGATAAAAACAAATCCTCCATCGCTTGTAATACATACAATTTAAGACAACATATATAAATATCACTCGTTCATTCATGTCAGAAATATAAACTGTATTACAAGAGTGAATGAAATATTTAATTTGATATATGAGTTATATGAAGAGAAATACCACGCTATTCTCAATTAATGGTCGACGTTTACTCAGCATGTTCAAACGAAAGCAATAACGATATTCGACACAATAGACATGATTTAATGGATTAATATAACAATGCTTCATTTTCTCGCAAATATTTCATATACCTCTGAAAGTAGTTTAAATTATTACACTCATAAAAAAGTTGCCTACCATGGATATACAGTTCTATTTAAATATTTCCATTAATGTTTAAAATTTACTATCCTCAATTATATGCAAAACCATTTCTGGTACCACATAGCTGCTTGAAATCAGGTAGCGTGAAAACGGAATTGAAAATACCTACAAGAATGCTTTTGCTTCTCTTAATGCTTCTCGCACAGCAGGAGGATAGTCTTCAAGTTTTATAGATTTCACAAGACAGTACGACACGTATTTAACTGGAACCCATCGCCTACAAATAAAATTCGTTAGAAAAAAAACATCATTTATTCTGAAAAAATCATGAATAAAGTAGGATATGTTCGAAAGCTTAATATGACATATTAAAAAAATTAAGTGAGAAAATAACCGAATTTTAGACCGATCATGGAGAACCAGGGTGAAGCAATAAATTCGAATTTGAATGCAAAAAGAGTCAATAAAAAATCGTCCCATCTTCAAAACTTATGTATGATTGCGAAAGCATCCTTCCTTTTGCTATTCCAATTTTTACTGCTATTGTGGAAAAAGAAATTTTATTTAAATTCTTACCAATTTTTCTGACTGTCAAAATACAAGACTAAAACATATTGTGTGTAATCATGGGGCTTTGCGCTAAACATTTCATCTATTGGCAAATCAGCTAGCAAAACCTGAAATTATGATAAATTACTCCGAAATAAAGCGTAAAATATAAAATATATGTCTAACTAGCTATTCAACAGATCAGATGTGATATCTGAAAACAGAATATTAAAAAATCCCTAAACACTGAAAATTATGATAATTTTGAAAACTTACTCTCATTCGTAAATCGATGACCCTCCCAATTTTACGTTCACCATTTTCTGTTATCCAAACAATATCGTCATGTTGGAATTCACATGCCACTTCAACTGTTTCTGTAATACCTTTTTTAGAACAAGACATTTATCCAGCAAAATTCGAGCTGACGAAAGATATGACAGTATGGTAGAACAAGTATTTCATCAAGTAAGTAAAGAAACAATGTCATGTAGTGATTGACAAAGAATTAACTACGTTAAAACCCGTAAGCCTTTGAAGAGAAAGAAAAGATCGCTTTTGTTAGAACAAAATATTTTCACTAAAAAGAGAGGACAGTATAAATAAATCTGCTGCGGCCTTTATTGATTTTAAATAACTTAAAACTGCAGGCTTGTCCTAAAATTAGAATAATTCATATCAAGGATTTCACAACTTATTGAAAAATATTACCAACAGGACGTTCCGTAGGTGGTGGTGGCATTAGCCTTCGAGATTTTCTTGTGCTTCTTCGTCGTCCTCGTCGAAGAGGCATTTCATCTTCAGCAGAGCTTGATTCTTCCATTGTAGAAGTGTCAGTTGTCAAAAATTTGGGACTTTTCAGTGGACCTTTTCTGTAGGTCATAAATGACTCTACAGCTGAAAGCAAAAAAAGCGGAAATTAAACAAAAAAAGGGAAATAATTTTACTTATGCGTACTCTAAAATAAATGTCATTTCTAATATAGCTGACACAAGTAGACAGAGACTTTATAATGAAACTAGCAGTTAAACTGAGGTTAAATAAGAATCAGAGAAGGAAATCAGCAAAGGCCCGAAATCCATGGTTACACTTCAATAAAGCTGAAGTCATCTTGTTCCACGATGACTGTGATTGATACCTGACCAATCTTACATACCCAAGTTGTATTTGGGACGCTTCGGTGTAATGTTATCATCAAAAGTCCGTAAAGTACGTTTCCGAGTTGATATTCTCTTTGAGACCGTCTTTTCACCTTTTGAACTGCGGCATGCTGACATTTTTTTCTGTACAAAATCCAATTCTTCATCGTTTTCCTCTTCGTTGTCAAATTTCGAACTTTCTACAGGTGTATACGATATGCTTGATATGGTTTTCAATACTCCATTTGCCTGCATAATATTTATAATGAAGCGAATTATTTTCTGATTGGTATCTTTGTGAGCTTTTTACCACTTTTTTATATTCAAATTGTGACAATCATCAAATGAAGATCCAGGAATCCAGAAACAATTTTCTAATAAAAATCATGCAAGTGGCTTCTGTAGAAGAAGTAAACTTTCCCGTTCTTTTGCTGAGACAACAACAAAAGTTGAAATAGAGAACCTTTTCCTTCTCACGTTGTATTAAATAATTTGAGACAAGCAAGTAAGCAATCAAGTTATACAGCGCAAAGCTTTTAAAGTATGGCTCAGTAATTTAAAAACATTGGAATATTCATACCAAAGTAAGAGCCTGCACGTCTTTTTCAGCAGCTGTGAAATATTTCAAACCAATGCGATGAAGTCGATGACCATATTTCCAGAAGAATTCATTATGTCGATTAAATGTTGAACAATTGTTCATCATCAACGTGAAATCAGACTTGAGCTGTGAGAGGTTTTTGTAATCACCTTTTGCAAGTTTCCTGTTAAAATATGTCATGTGACTTTTGTGACAGACTTTTATTACAGAACTCAGATAAATTTCCTTATTTTCGAAATTACATCAAAAATAAGAGTGAAAAATTATGGACTTACTTTCGCATAGTGGACAAATCCATCGGATTTTTGATAACGGTTGAATAACCAGGCACCTCCTTTTCAGTTACCGGCTTCGCGAACACCTGTAATGAACATTTTGTCAATAAAAAAGTGAACAAAAAAGCAAATCGAAGAAGCTCTGCATTTTATAATGAAAAGTTTGCTAGCATCAATGAATATACATACTATTGGTAGAAAGAAGGAAAATAAATCAAGGAAAAACTGTAAGTTCAATATCTCTCCAAAAACCAATGGATGAGTTAATAATCCATAATCCCTTCAGCTGAAAATAGAGATTTCTTTGTTAGTTTAGATGAAAAAATAAGTGAACCTAATTATTTATTTTATATATACTGTAGAACTCACATCGTTGTAATCTTTGCTAGCAATTTTTTCGATTACTTCACTCATTATTTCATTTAATGGCTTTGTCAATCGATTCAGCAAGGAAGCAGTTGAGTCATACTACAATGAAAAGAGAAGTCATTCTGAAAAACTCATCGAAAATATTAAAATATAGAACAGAAATAAATATTCAATACCAACAAAAGAGTTTCAAATCATGCGCAGACTAAAATCTAATTTCTTTTCCAACTGAAAAGTTCAACTATAAGTGAAAGATAACCTACAAATTCTTTTTTCATCTTTTCCCGCTTTTTTACCAGCTCACATAATAGACGAACACGCTCAAGATTCGTTCGCAGCAAGAAGTATGTTTTAGTTTCATTAGGATGTGCCTCCTGTCCAGATGTCGAACAGAAGTCAGCAGACTTGGGAAGTGTTTTGCTATGCTGGAAAAGTCCAATATCATTCAATTTGTTGGACTTCCAGAGTTCAATATCTTAGTTTTTGAAAACTCCTTCTATAATTGTTATTAACTTGCTATATACAAAGATCTGGAATAGCGTTTTTATCCACTTTCTTCAGTACTACTGACGCAAATAAGAAAAAGAGTTGACTTCCTAACACACCACTGGTGAATTCTGTAGTAATATTTGTATTTTCAAACGCTACTCACAATTAATCTTCGTAACAACGGCACTCCAAATCGTGACTTCCTTTTTAACGACCAATAAGCAACGATGTAGCGAACCACACCCTCACTGATGTCAGCTTTTTCACATATTCTCTTCAGACTGCAAAATTATGCAAATCAGAGAATAACATGCCAACTTTCCAATAAAGAAAGAATAGTATTTACATTAAGTACGAACGATTAAGAGGAAAATTATTCCTTGTGAAAAGGTTAGAATCTCGAAAGTCTTTTTTTGCAAAAGTGGTTTCATCAGCTTTTGCTCCTGCTACTAGCATATTACATTCACCACATTTTCCAAATTATACAAACGATAAGGTAACGATAAAGCAGCAAATGTACCTTTCGTGCGGAACAGTAGGAATAGAAACCGGTGGAATAACCGCTTGACTTGCTGCTAATTTTTCACGTGCTTTTTTCATCATTTCATCCTAAACACAGTCCTGACTTAATAATAAAAATTGGTGGAGTTGAAATTTCAAAATAGCTTTTCACTA